AAGTTCCTGCTAAGCTTGCCATGTCACCCCCTTTGCTGAGGAAAGCAGAAGGTGGATCAGTTACATTCTGTCCTTGCCTGCAATGTGTGGTCATCCTCAGGAACAAGACACAAAGCTTTCCAGCACAACCAGGAATTGTAAGTGTTTCAACTTTTCAACAGCCCTTTTTTTTTATCACTGCATCCCAGCTAAATTATTTAAAATAATCTATTGCCTTTATCAAAGCTGAATTTATCCTCAAGCTTTATCAACCCTTGTTATTTTTTGCCCCTTTGTTTCCTTCTGCAAAAACTGAAACTGCCAGGAGGCTTCCCAGTCATCTAAAGAGCATCAGTAAACAAGAGCAGAGACAGATGGCTGCAGCTCAGTTCAAAGGAGCACAAGACCCAGCCTCTCCCCTGCACTGCAAGTGCTACCCCTCAGATACAAACGGGCAGCAAAACCAGCAAGAATGCAGAGAGAAAACAGGGATGTACATCCAGTCTGGTAAGGAAGGATGTGAGGACAGGCTGCAGAGCTTCCAGGTACACTGAACATCCACCACAACCATCCAGCCTTCCAATAACACAACGGGATATGAGGATGGTGGTGGGGTAGGGAAGAGTTCTCCCTCTGTTGTTGCTCCCAAAAGTACTGCTGGCAAAAATAACTGGCAGGGAGAGTAGAATGAGGCATCTCCTTCCAGCAAAGTTACTTTTCTGAGAACTAATACAGCAAACTCACACAACCTGAAAAAGTGACAACATTTGACAGGCCTCTCAATTCACCTACTACTTCAGGAATTTGGTCCCATTGACAAATAACATTAACACCTAATTAAAATGAGAGATTCAAAGAGACAAAGAAAACCCACAAGAGAACTCACAGATTTAGAATTACAGAAGTCTGTCAAAACAAACATTCTTATTTTTTTTCATTCCTGGATTTGATTTTCATTTACTGCATAAATGACTACTGGTGTTAGCACAAGATGCTATTTACATTTTGTGCCTTGCCTTGCTAAATAGATTCAGATGTCCACATACATTCAATAAATCTATCTGAATTAACATAGTTCCTTGTATGCCTCTTCCACCAACTATAAATTCACTGTGATTCCACAGACACACCTGCATGCCTGAATGGTTTACATAGGAACGGGTTCAAACATTGCCCATTCTTCCAAACAAAAATTGTGATTCTGTTGAAATTGAATTAACATCTTTCCCTCAGGGCCTCCTAATATTCCAAGTTCTTCCCTCACTCAGTGATAGCAGAAAGCTTCAAGAACACGGTTGCACAATCATCACCTCCAATCAGCTCTAATTGAAGGCTGACACAAGACAGAACGAGAAACGAGCACTCCAATTAATACAGACAGGAAAAAACAAGATTGTGGGAGCAGCATCATTATCGGGAAAGCTCCAGCAAAACCCTCGGGTTGTAGCATGTTGGCTAACACCTCTGAGGTAGAGTTTAACTACTCCTTAGTGCACAAATAGGAGGGAGGGAATGATCTGGTGGTGAATTTACCACAGCTGGTGAATACCTTCTAAAGTTCTGGCCCCCTTTCACCTCAGTGTTCACACAAACTTTAAGAACTCATTAACATGGGACTCCACTGATTCTCTCCAGAGAGGCCTGAATTGACCCTTCTGGGAATCCAGGCTGACTTCCCAAAATGCAGCCTGACATATACTTCTGTTGGACCTTCCTGAAACAGCAGAACTACAAAATAAACACAGATTTCTCACATGAAACAGCTGCCTGCTCACAGCAATTCACCCAGGGTATCCCATTCTTTTCCACAATGCCATTCCCTGCTCTATACATTTAAAAGACTCAACGAAAAGCTGATACACACCTGTATCCCCATGGAAACAGCTGTCCTGGTGACATCTCCCAGAGGGCAAATCTCCGTCACTTGGCCAGATCTGTCCTGTTTTTCGTACACCCACAATAGTAGCCTCAGACACAATGACCTGCTGCTGCCTGTGCCGTTTTTGAGACTGGGGGGTTGGGGGACTGCTGCTGTCAAAGGACTGCTGAGAGTTCTGGGAGGGAGAACGGCTTTTATCCCGGTACATGCGGTAAGTGGTGGGGCTGGGGGAGACATGGCTGGACTGTCCTGAGGAGAAGTCTTCCTCACTGGAAGTAAGGTTCTCATTAGAGCTACAGTCAGGGGTATATCCTCCTCCAATGTCTTCAAAGCTCCTGGGGGAATAAGATCTCCTGGGCCACGTGAGATGCTTTTCCTGGTCAGTTGTGCCCTGATTTCGCAGAATAGGTCCTTTTCCTTCTCCTTCCCCCATCATTCCACCAACGTAGATACTTTGATACGGCTGGAAGTCCATGGGCTGCCAAGGCGAGCGGTTGCTGCCATTGGCATTAATCAGGTTATCTTTGAGAAACTTGGGGTTCAGTTCAGCATCCTCATATTCTCCATCGTAGCCAAAGCTGCTCTCCGAGGACCTTCCCCTGTACGCAGGCCTCTGGAACTCGCTGAAGCTGGGTACCATGTTAGAAGGGAGGGAGTGCAAAGACTTTTTGCGTTCCATTTGCATGGCTTGGCTGCCAAGGGAGCTTATTTTATCAGAAACATCTTTGTCGTTGACCTTTACTAGACCCTTCTCATGATGATACTCCATGTTCACATAAAAGGGCTTTTCAACAACATCCTTGTTATCTCCAGAAGAATGCGAGTTAACCTTTTTCATTCTCTCAAAATTGGACCTCAGGGCTGCCACACTGGTGCTGTTCCCTCTCTCCTTAGGTTCAAATGATCCCTCCTTCTCAGCAGATCCCACCAGCCTACGAGTGGAAGCCGATCTGTGTTTTGAAGGAGAGCCATCTGTATCACAGCGATTCTCCATATCTTCTACAACTCTCTTCAGTTTCTCCTCCCCATAGTACTTGGACCTGTCCTGCTCTCCTTCTCCGTGATGGGGGCTGTCCAAAGGGGACAGGTCTGACCCATCACTCTGGGTAGACAGCTTCCGCAGAGAGGGGATCCTGGGTTTGAACTTTTCCTCCCCGTGGTGTGACTTGCTTTTTTCATATTCCTCTTGGTCAGCAGACTGGTGATGATGCAGGTCCTGGATCTGCTGCTCTGCACCCCCTTCAGGCAACTGAGAAACACGTTTAAAACCCCATCTCTGTCTATCATAGCTTTTTTTCTCCTTTGCCAGAAGAGTCTGCAGGTAAATCATGCGGAACCTCTCCTTGTTCACCTCCATCTCCAGTCTCCGGATAGATGCTTTGCACATCTCCAGCTCCTGTTCAATATCTCCCACAGATTTCAGCTCCATTTTAGGAGGCTCAGAGTCTGCAAACTGTGCTTTCCAAGCCTCCACAAACCCCACAGGGTCCACCATTTTGCATACGGGAGTAACTGGAGAATACGAGAAGGAGGCTGGAGAGAGAGAGGTGGACAGAAAAAACCAACCGGATCTCACATGTAGAAGCAGAAACAGCTCCGGCGGGGTCAACTCAGCGCGTCTCTTTCACGGTCCATGCAGGGGCACTGGGAGGCGAGCGGCGATCCTCCCTCGCAATCCTCTCTCCTTCAGCCTTTGCCGGCCCCAGCCCCGCGTCCCCTCGCTACTCTCTCCCCGGCATGACTGATCGCTTGCTGGCGAACAACAATGCTTCCAACCCCGGCGATCCCCGAGCACTTCAAAGTGGGTGGACAAAGGAGCGGGCTCGGGGCGGGGGCGGGAAGGTAAATATCGCCCCCCACCCGCCTCCTGCCGCCGCCGTCCTGGGCACGGTCCTCGGCGCAGCCACGCTCCGTCCTCCTCCGCTCCGTCCTGCCTCGCCAGCCCCCGTGTTGTGCTTTCTCTTTCTCTCTCCTCCTTTCCCCCTGCCCCTTTCCCTGTCTCCTCCTCCCGGCTATTGTGCTGTGCTCCGGGCGCACACGCCGGGCTCGGAGCGGCGCTGCGGCGGCGGGTCCGGGCCGAGCTCCGGCGCTACCCGGCCGTGCCCGGGCGCCCCGCGGCCCCGCGGGAGCCCCCCCGGCGGCGCGGCAGCCGCTGCCCGCGGCGGCCCATCGCGGCCCGGCCCCGGCGCTGCGGAAGGGGAGGAGAGCGAAGGACCCGGCGCAGGCACTGACACGGCGCTGGGGCCTCTTAAAGGGGCAGCCGGGCCGGCCGTGCCGCGGGACCCCGCGGGGCTGGGGGGGCCCTGCCCCTTCCCCGCGGCTGCCCCGGAGACAAAGGCGGGGATGTGCGAAGTCGCGCTTGCAGCCACGGGCCTGGACATCATCGCACCATAGAGACATGGCTATGCCTAAGCCTAGGCAAGAGCATAGCGTGCACACAGTGCATAGGGAGGTATCCATTCTCATCCATACAGCCATGCCCTCATATATTATGTATAAACACCAGCACGTCTCTGTGCTCTCTCGTGCTCGCAGCAAGGCTCTCCCCCCAGGCACTGATGCACCTCACCTTCAAAGGTCATGTTTTCCTCTGCTCATGTGAGTGCTGCTTGGTAGCAGGCTTGTCATTCCCTCAAGCCGACCTTCCTCGCCAATAAATGACAAGCTGGATTTCTGAGATGGGCAAAATAACTATGAGACCAGCAATAACACCTGCTTTGTTCTGCATTAGTCTCACTTTTGTCCTGTGTATTATCCTAGCCCAAATAACTCAGAGTCCCATGCCCCAGCTCTGGGTGAAGGGTGGCAAATGATTTAAACAAAAGTCTGGCTGCCGAGTCCTACTCCTTCTGAAATCACAGAACATGATCTTGCTTAAGCCCTGCGTCCCTTCCACGTGTTAATTAAACCTCCAAAAAAATGGTAACAAACACAACTGAAGTTTCATCTTGCCTGTTTGGATGACAGGAAAAGGTGAGAGATGTACATCTCATATGCTCCATAAACCTGCTGCTTTCATATCTGCAGTGAGGTGTATCTTTTCTGGTACTTGTTAGAAAAGAGGGTGGGATATAGCCCCAACAAGAACCAACAGAATCCCATAAGAATGAAAAGCACAACTCCACAGGAGTAGCTCTCTTACCTTTCAAAATCCAAGTTTTTCTCTTCATGCATTTTTATATGCCAAACAAAATATTTTTGGGTGTTTTCAGACACATCACAAATGGCTAATCATTCCATTTTGCATAGTTCATCCCTCTCAGTTTTTGTTTCCTGGCTTTAACCTCTTTTCCTGCACTTGTTTCCTCAGCTTTTAACACATAACAGGCTTTGGCTGACCTATATGGAAAACAGATTATAATCTAAATCATAATAAAATCTATATGTTCAATAAATAACTCTATAAATCTCTCAAGAAATCTCAATCTATTACAGAAATAAAATAACTTGCCTTTCCCTCGTTGATATTATTTGTTTGCTTAGTGCCATTTGGACCAATGAAATTCTGACATGCAATGTATTTCTGGAATCTGAAGCTTCAGACTGCACTGGCATGGTTCTAACAAAGGCAGGTATGTTACATCCTAGGGATGTGTTCTGAATTCATACAGTGCTTTTACTGAGGTCTCACCATCCTGGTTTTTTATGTCTGTTTTCTATCTGGGTCCTCAGTGGTGCCCTTTCTGGAGGGAGTAAGAATTCCTATGAGTCAGATGAGGGATTTCTATGTGCACACTTAACTTTTAAGTGAATAATACTGTTAAACAACTACACCCTCTTTATCTGTTGAAGTGCCACAACATCAGAAATTCCTCTGGGAATTCAAGGGCTCTCTGAATTTTTGCTGACACTTTATGCATTCAGCATTTTAATAGGATACAAAATTTCATCAAGACGATGGTGGCAGACACGTACCTGTGATTTGAGACTGAGAATCCTGCGATGAGGGGCTGAACTATGGACAGAGTGCCCGGCACATCCCCTCTGCTGGCCTGCGAGAGATCGCGCAGCCCTTCCGAGCCGGCACGGATCTCATCCTGCAGTGACCGCCGAGCTCCCTCTTGTGGGAAGAGGAGCCGCTTCGTTTAGGGAAAAAGCTCGCGAGCTGTCACTGAGGAACTGTCCTTCAGCCCGATCCCACGCGAAAGAACAGGAGGTTTTGTAAGAAACAAAAATAACTGTAAAAACCAAAATAACTGTAGGACATAAGCTGAGCTTTTAAAATGAGAATTAAAATATGATATCTGATTAATCTGTGCCTGAAACTAAGCAATTAGATTTTTGTAAATACAAAGCAGAACTCTGGGAGAGTTTGACAAGGCTGGCAAGTCTTGAGACATTCCATGCAGTATAAATCATTCTATGAACCCAGAAATAAAGGAACTCTCCTTCAAATTCAGAGAATGGCAATTCCTCACTGTGAGAACAACCTTCTGGCCAAAACCACAGGAAGCTGAGCAACCCTCTCCAATACCAAATACAGATTCTCCTACAACTCGCCAAACACTTCATTTCAACTCTCCTGCTCAGAGGATGGGATAAAGAGCAGGGTTCAGAGCATTCACTCAGCAGTGCATTATATTAGAACAACCTCTGACTATTGGTGGAAACCTGAAAAGGCACAGAGGGGACAGATTTATTCGTGAAGAATGGACTCCAGTCACACCACAAGGCAAACCCGAGCTGGGACCCAACAGGACTCAGAAAGGTCTGAATCACATGACCTATGTGACTATAAATCATAATATCCCGAGTGTCAAATAATCACTCAAAAGGCAAAACAACACGATTAAAAATTAAAAGGCTTTTATAGTAAGAAATTAACTTTGTCAGTTTACTTTCTTAAATAGCTTTTGATCCATTGCCAGTAGTTTTGCTCAGCACAAATGCACCCTTATATAACCAGGAAATCATTAACACGTTAAGCTTCTACTTATTAAGACAAACAGCATAACATTAGTCCTTCTGGGGGGGGATTGATTATTCCAATTGCTCTTTACCTTTGCTTCGGACTGACTCCAAATTTCACTTCTTCAGTTTCTCACCTGAAAGTTCCACAAGGAAGCTGGAGCTGGGACTGTTGCCGTGATCACTGTGGGAATTTCAACTGGTACAGAGATCGTGGTTTAGCCTACCCAGGGTTACAGTTAATACAGGTTTTTCGACACTCTTTTCTGTAGTATTAAGGCTTCTTCAAAGCCGATTAATTTGCTGATAGAATGGATTAACATACATAGGTAAAACATTGACCAGATAGAACTTGCAAATTCATATTTATTTTCTATAGTTAGTTTCCTTTGTGCTTTCCTCAGCAACTCATCATTTGCAACACAATCCAAGATCCATTTTAGATGATTAATTATTAATGCTGAGTTTGTTGCAGGGGAAATCTCAGTAGCACTAAAAAAATGCCCTTAAAACCAACCAACCAAGCGAAAAAAAACCCCAACCAAACAAAAGCCAATACACCACCAACAAAAACCCCAGTCTCAAAGCATCCATCATATAATAGAGATGGAGTCAGGCCATTGTCAAGTCACAGTTAATGACTGACTGAGTATTGCATTTGCAGTTGAACTTTTTGGAGCTCCAGATGATACTAAACAGTAATGACATCAAGCAATGTACTGAATCACTAGAAGAAAACCTGTCCCAGTTGATTTTCCAAGCACCATGATTGTGTTGCTGAAGAGATTGCATCTCTGTGATTTTATACAATAACCAAGCTCATCAACAAAAGAAACCCTTCGGAGACATATTTCTTGAGGGGCAGAAAAAAATCCTGATTTTTATCTTGGATTTGCTACTGAGTCATTTTGCACTGTAAACACTAAACCAGCATGCCAGCACTGAAACCCAACACCAGGCCCAGCCAACCTGACTTGCTGCAGCAGAGGGAACCAGCTTTTCTACTCTCATTCAGACTCAGCAAACACGAGGCCGTGGCCACGCTGCCCGCTCAGCCCAGCACACAGCACAAGCAAAGTGTGGATTGTCATCCTTGGGAAGCAGACTCGGGAACTGGACTAACACATGGAACACCATAAGGTCAAAATATCACACATTTGGATAAGTAGCTCCTTACATACCCTCACAGATTCATTTTTTCCACCAAATGCTATATTTGTGTCTTTGCCAACAGCCAGCACAATTGCCAAAGTGAAGATTGTCCAATAAAACAGACAGAGAGTTCTTAGATCTCTATCCATCATTTTTTGTGAAGCTGCTGTAACTTACGTCATAATGAAATAAAAGTAATAAAAAAAGATGTTTAAGTCATCTTTTCTCCACTTCTTTCTATGTCTTGTCAAACAAATTGGGGGAAATGTCAGAGAACCTAGAGTATTTTCAGTTTGATGCATTGCTTTATTAACAAGTGTCCTTATTTCTTAGCAGCTCAAATCCAAAAGGGCCTGTTATAATTAGTTTTCCAGATACTGTTGTCTCTGCAGTGATTGCATTACTATCTTAAGAAACTGTAACTTGTAACCATTCATAAGTTTTCTTCTTTCTCTCCATTTAAAATTATTGCAGTATGAAATTTAAAATACTATATTTTTTTTTTAATGCCAGCATAGCATGAAATGCTGGATATAAACCTTAGAAATATGGGAGTTCTAAGCTGCTGATAGATTCTTACAGAAAGAGTGTTTCTGCTTTCCCACCTTGATTCCTGCATTATTTCTATGATTTGAGCACTTACAGTAATTTTGAAGGCCACACATTTGAACAGTTTACTGCAAGCAAAAGATTTATAACATCTCATTTATCTTTAGAGAAATATCATTACCTAGACACTCACAACTGAATGTTAGAATTCAGTGAGCTGTTGGAAAATTTAGAAGGAAATAAAATGAGTGTATTTCCCTTCCACTTCTTTGGTACTTCTGCAGTTTAAACCTAATTAGCATAATCAAGCATACTAATGCAATTTCACAAATACTGGTCAAGTATTTGTTATAGTAATTTTTGGCAATGCCATTTGTCAGCAGGAATAACTTTTGAAAGAGGAATGTCTATGGGCATCAGTCATTGTTGCCCAAAGGAAAAAAGAGCATTTTAAAGCTGCTTTACTTCAGTATGGAATTCAACCTTGCTGGCTCTGAGTTCCCACCTCAGACAGGGATGATCAGGTTCATGACTGAGACCACATACGGTTCCAAAATCTTATTATATTTTTACAAAAAAACCCCAAACCAAAACAGGTGGTTAGAGCAGGGTGCAATAACACAAGGTTGTGGGTTCAATCCACATATGAGCCATTCACTGAGGAGCTGGACTCGATGATCCCTGTGGGTCGCTTCCAATTAGGAATATCCTGTGAAATCTGTGAATTACTCTTAGCAACAAAGTAGGACTGCATGTAGACAATATTCATGAAGATCAATACAGAGGAGGAATCTGCATCCTCTTTGGAATATATGTGTTCCATATTATGCACTTATGAGACCATTCTTTCTTATTCAAGTGAGTGGAAAAGAATAGCATTCTTATCTGGTAACATTTTCAAAATATTAGACAGATGGGATAAAACAACAAAGTTCCTACCTGGACTTCTAGGCTTGGAAATACTTAAATACTGGGCTCTGATTCTCAAGTGGAAAATGAAAAATAATACAGATTTTTTCCTGGATGGAGAAACCACAGTGGAAACTATGCAGTCTGCATTTGTGTATCCATACCTGATACTTAAAAAGATTTTTACTGGAATAGTTCCAAAATACTTGGAATGCACAAAAGCAGATCAGAGTTATTTTATGCTATGACTTTAAAAGGGAAAAACTTATGGATAGCACCCTTTACTCTGAACTGCCACTTGTTTCCTGCCCCCATGGGAATGCAACCTCACTATCTAAGATTTCTAGAGAATTATCAAAGAACAACACACTAAAATGACATCATTTTTGACTACAAGCATTTCTGGCAGACAGGTGAGCACATGGCACTGGCAATGTCTCCTTGCATTAAGGATGTTGTGTTTCAACTACCCAGAGGAAGGTTTATGTAACAATTGTACCACCCTGCACAAGGAGCCTGCAGCAGCAAGGGAACTCTCAGAAGGGAAGTTTGGCTAAGTTTTTCCTCCCTTGTTTCCCAAATTAAAGCTCTCTGTTTCTGGCCTGAGAGCTTGCACTGCTGCAGGTGCTCTGCTCTGTGCGCAGAGAAGCGCGGGGCCTGAAGGAACAGTTGACAATTAGCAGCAACTCGGGCTGACTTGAGCGTTGCCTTCTGGGATTTCCATAATGTTCTCCAGGTCTGTGGAAACAGCAAAGTTATAAAATCAATTCACAAGAAATGATACCAGCCAGTACTAAGGGTAACAAAAGCTGGATGCAGACCCAGTCACTCCCGTAGGGTAGAACCTGGGTAGACAGTGACATGAACGGGCTTGTAGGTGTTTGAAACTGGCTTTTAATGCTTGAAAAACCTCCCCAGTCCTTCAGACTGTAAACAAGGAAAATACACACAAAAAACAAAACTCCACATACTGATGAGATTTCCTGCCCCAATTTGGGCCATGTGCCCAGGAGTGTTCTCCAGCTCTTTTATCATGGACTGTTCAAAGGCCAAGGCAGCAACTCGGGAAAAGAATTCTTTGACATTTTCCCCTGGGGAGCAAAACAGAAATTATGTGTTTTAACAACTGCACATCAACAGATGATCAAGCATAACAAGCACATCTGTGAACAGCTCACTGCTCAATACTGGGACAGAACAGGCCTCTCCAACAATCTGTCTTCCATTCTGATCACTGCAGAGAGAATTTCTAATTTTCTTACTCTGGAATACTGTACCCTGTACTGCACCTTTATTTTTAGCCACAACAGAGAGAATTCAGTTAGTGGTATAATCTTTTTCCATTGCAAATGTTGAATAGTGGTGCACATGTGTATTTATGTAACTATCTATGAATTAAACATGCTCAGACCCTGTGAAGCAGCTCAATTACTTCTTTCTGCAAACATGAAAGTGCGAGCACAAATAAAAATGCACAAATAAAATTTGATCATTAATAAACCTGAAGTTTCTAATAGCAACAAAATGGAAGAACAACAACAAAAAAAAAGTGAATGGGGGAAGAGGGGGATAATAAGTTCCTCCCACCTCAACATCAGCCCTTGTGGTTATTTTTACATCTTTTGCAGTAATTTACCTGTTTTGGCTGAGACGGACCAATATTCTGCCCTCATCTCATTGGCAAAGCGGATGGCATCCAGCTCTGTCCTTTCACACACAGCATCTGACTGGGGAGACAACATGGAATAACTGCAATATAAAAGTCTATCTGGGCTGGTAACAGCACAGAGGTACTGCTTGCACCTGTCCTCTGATGCTTCCAGTTTCTCAGCGGCCTTTCTGACCTCGCCTTAGAACTTGTGCAACCAGACAGGACTGTGAGAATACTCCCAGATTTAGCACTGCTTTTAAAATGGAGTCTCCACTCACCTCCCACAGCCCTGAAAGAAAGCAGGGGGTGACGTGAGTAACCATTGTATCAATACATAAGGGGCAGGGAGCTGGAAAGACAACAGCCCAGTTACATCCTTGTCATCCCATCACTCAGCAGAAGAGTTGTGGGACCAATTAATCACAACAGTTCTTTGGGTTTAGTCTGTTTTGTCTATTGCATCAGTTTTTACTGTGCTGTAACCCAATGGTCTTCCCCCCCTTTTTATTTTTGCTCTTTTTTAGGACTAAAATTTCTTGCCCTTTCAATGGGATTTTGCTTTCTTGCACTTAGTTTTCAGGTCTTTTCACCCTCTCATTAGTTCTCCGTCACCAATCATAAGTATGCTGCTATTTGCTTTTGATTTCTAGCCTATTTGGGATGGATGACACCAGTCATCTTTTTACAGTTTTCTGTAGATTGTCTTACAATGGAGAACCCCTGCAAACTTGAGAAGAAATCTAAACATTTGGAAATGATTATGTGACATCAACATGATAAGGAGAATGAATCCAGTTGGGAAGACACTGGCTTCACACTGAAGTAATACCTAGAACCTAAAATCCTTTGCTTTGCTCTTGTCTCCCTTTCAGTTAAAAGCACTACATTCTAAAATCAGAAATTAACTTCCAGTAAGGTACTCTAGCTTAGACAAGGCTTCAGATGTGTGTCCTCAGAGGTCTGGCACGTTTAGCTTTTATTGCAACTCAGAAAAAGCAGCATAAACTACACAGAGTACCAGAAAAACTGACAGACATGCAATTTTCTAGGACTTATTTTCACTAAAGGGTAAGAAACAAAGTGCAGAAGTGATATTGTGGCAGTTGGGTGGAAATAAAAAAAAAAAATCAATTAAACAGCAAATGAAACAAGTTTCTTTTGAAATCTTTAAAAACTAAGTATTGATAGCTGCAGGAAGAGAAATACAGGACTGAGAATGGTATGGAGAGTGCATTATATGCTGTTCTTCCAACAATGATGTCATATTCAACTAAGGAGGAAATCTTCCCTGTTCCTGAATAACGAACACACTGTCCCTAAAAAAAACAAATTAAAAAAAACCTTCAGTACATTAGGTATGTTTGTATGTGCTTGAAAAATACCATGCAAGAAATATTTCATAACTACCTATTTTTTCAGAAAGCCTCTTCTTAAATTGTTTCCAAGTACACTGTTGTATTTACTTGTTAAGGTTTTTGCTCAAGGTCTTTGTCTCAACAACATTGTGTACAACTTGTAAGGGAAATCATGAGAGGAACTAGGGAAAATCCCATTTCCTTATCTGCATTCAATTTACTCACCACTAAATCTTTTTTTGTTCCAACTAGAAAGACGAAGCTGGAATCTGGTTCATTCTCCCTCAATGCATCTTCTAGCCACTGTCTGCAATACAAAAGAGAAATGACAGAATCAGTCAGAGGGAATGAGGAATATAGGAGAAGGTAACAGATAATGGGGTCACAAGAAAAGTGAGAGGATGAACTTATGTGAGAGTATCAAAAGCCTTTTTTTCCAGACAGAAAGAGATCCAGAGCTATTCCAAGTCCTTTGAATACAACGTCTTCCACTAACAAAGTTCAAGCATATCCACATTCAGAGTGCAAATTCAACAATAATTATAGCACCCAGAGAGGGCATTTCCTATTATTAAGGAGAGGGCAAAGTTTTGATCAAGATAAGGAATAAGAAGACAGGAAAAAAGGGAAAGGTCTGAACCACATAGCAGATTAGATAGAAAAGGGAATAAAGAAGAGTGAAATAATCTATTCAGCATTATAAAACAGCTCCCTATGAAGGCTGTATGATTCTTGTCTCACAAGCTTTTATATTTTTGTTACTCTGGCAATCAAGTTTCTCTTGAGTCATCCAACACAAGTCAAGGAGGGAAGGGAGTGTGTGCGTGTGTGGGAAATCAGGTTCACAGGCTTCAATTACTTTCAGCCAAGCAGAGACACTAATATATATATTATTTTACAAAGTCCTATGTAAATGAGCTAAGTACCATAGTACACATTCAAATAAGACAGAATACAGGTTGTAAAGAAGCCTGTACCTGCATTACAGTCAAAACAGCACATTAGAAATACATATGCTCTGAACTGTGACAACGGTGTGGATCATAGATCCATGTAGGGTTTTGCATCCTGCACTGAAAGCAGAAGGAGTTTATCCATAACAATTAACATGCAGTTGTAACCAAACCATTACAAGTATCTGAACCAGTAAGTTTAGCTATATCTACATATACTTGGAGTTCTTAATTTTCTCTCCTCTTTTTGACAGGCTACCTCCCCAGAGAATCACTTCAGAAATTTTAGAAAGAAAATAATTTGGGGATATCAGTGTACCTAAAAAACGAGAGGCTCTTGAGACATTATGCATGAGAGGCATCTCATCATTTTCACCACTTACATTAGATGTCAGCCTGTTATTCTATTTATAGCAAATTAAGTAAAAAAATAATGATTTTGGGGTGTACTTCATCTCTTCCTGCATGTCTAGTTTTGGAAGGATCAAGCTTTGACTGAAGTGCCTTTTTCTCTGCACTGACTTTAAAGGCAGTCAAGTGTAAATAGTTCAAATCTATGCCCTGCATTTTCTTCAGAAAAATCCCACCCTATGCAATCCAAACAAGTGACTGTCGTTTTTCATTTCTTAGCTCAAGAGAAAATACACTCATGATCCAGCAAGTTCTCAACACCTACATATGGAAGGCAATTAAACCTGCTGTAAAACCTTTCAAGGATAAGCCAAAATGCAGAAACTTACTTGGTGTGATCCAAAGTTTGGATATCAGCCAGATCAAACACTGTTATTATAACTGCAATAAAAGACAAGAACAGAATAAAAAGTAATTAAGTTAGAAGGTGTATCAGAATTCTCTCCAACCCATCTTGTTAAACAGAGAGAATGTTTACATATAAGGTGCAAGAACAGATTTAACACACAGGAGGTGGAAGACTATCCATTTGCTCATTCCTTTTCCTTTTCTAGCACCCAGTAAGACTTAAGTCCTTAGTCTTCAACCATATTTCATCTTTTCCTGTAGTCTGCAGTCCACGGTGCCGTTAACCCTTTTGTTTGGGGACCACTAATTCCTGCAGAAATTGTCTCTTACCAAAGGAAATGCCAGAAATACCCACTTCTAACTCCAACATTAATCTCACCCAAACCCAAATTCTTTTCCCCTTAGACATGAGTGCCAATTTTTATCACTGCATCATCAAAACATTCAGAGCTTGGAGATGTGACAACACATCAATTCACGAATTTCTTCAGCCCTTCTTCCCTGCAGGAACAGACAATCCATTCCACCACACTGGGTCTCCAGGTACCTTCCCAAGGAGCATATAGGCATATACATTTCTGTATAAAATACAACCTCCTGACACAGCCAGGATCAAATTAATATTGTTCTCACCCTCTGCTCCTCGGTAGTAAGCAGATGCAATGCACTTGAACTTTTCCTGACCTGCTGTGTCCCATCTGTGCAATGGGGGGAAAAAAGAAATTTCAGGTTAATGAAACCCAGTGTAACCTGAGTAAACATGGTAATGAAGCAGCAGACTGGCACAAGGCAGAGAAGAATGTGATACCAGAGAAGTGTCACCATCTGGAACGTGTTATTCATTAACTCCTGATAGAAATACAGTAAAGCTCTATTATTTAATGAAGACATGTGAACTCTGTTTTAACCTTTTTTTTTTTTTTTAATACCGTTCATTTTGGAGACACAATTCAAATATTTTTATTCTGCATGGCAATACCCTTTCCTCAAAACGTTTTTTTTCATCTATGCCATTTGCATGGATTTCTGGGGCAGTCTAATTTTGTACATTTCCTGTGCCAATACTAAATAAATCATGTATTAACCCATGTTAGAGTCTTGCAGCTGCTAGACGGGATATCTGTCCATACACTACAAATTAGAGACCTACAGCTCAGTCTACCATCTATTAATGACACCATTAAATAAAATCAAGAAAGTGCTTTTTATTAATGAACATTATATGCAGTGCCCTCAGGTACTGCCAGCACTGCAGAGGTTTGGGGCTGTTGTAGCCCAGTGCTGCCACTCACAGATACTTCAAATTTATCTTGTATGGAAATCTCGCAGCAGGAGGGGGCACTAGTGCTTATCACATGGAAACGTTCTACCAGCTCCCGAGGACTTGGCAGATAATGCAACTTGATGTTCAGTAGCTCATGAACCTTATTGCTTCAGTTTGCAAAACACTGATACATGAATCGACATTTTTAGAGGGACTCAAAGGCCTGGTAGAATTTTCCAAAACACAATTGCACTGAAATGAGTGGGAAATGGATTCCTAAGTATATTTCAATAAATACCATGAGCCATCTATTTACAGCAGTGATGTCACTGAAAAAAAGTGTTCCAAAGTGAAAAGGTTTTTAAGATTCATGCACTAAAATACCTCATGCAAAGCATCTTATTTCTGCTTTAGGTCACACTACAGCACAAATAATTCCATAATGCCCTCTACAGAAAAACATTTTCAGCCACTGGAAACACCAAAGGACTTCCTTCAACAGACCCAAAGCAGGTCAAAGAAGGGCAGGACTCCCACTAGTCTGACAAATGAAGCTGAAAATCAAAGATAACAGGTTCACATACTAATAAAAACACTCCAGTCTTTTTATGACTTGGGGATAATTAATTAGTCCCTAACTAAGAGGTGTTGAAATCACTGGACACCTTAACATTCATTTCAATGGCTGCAGGAATAAAACTCCCAGTAAAGCCAAGTTCAGTGCTCATCATGCCTTTTAAACCCAACTGACAGACTGGGGTAACCCTAGAACTGGACAAAGGTTGTGTCAAAAGCTGACCCTTCTCTTTCATGAAAGTGGAGTAAAAGAGGCAGAACTCTACTGAAATGGCACAAGACATCCAAGATGAATTTTCACTGACAAGCTTGTAACGTTTTTTAGAGATGAGAAATCCAAGACAGCAAAATTTTTACTAAAACTGCACGTCCAGGTACAGAACCTTTTTTTTCAGAACACATTATTCTTTGTGCAATTTCATTATTTTCAAAAAATCTTTATTTCACTGGAGCCTGCAGCAATACAAGCTCTGCTGAGACTGTACTCTGAGCAATGCTTAACCATCCTGTTTCAACTTACATCTGGAGATGATATGGGATTCCAATTATCTCAAAACGTTCCATTTCAAAATCCACTCCAATGGTTGCCTTGTAGTCTCGGTCAAAATTATCTTTACAAAATCTGCAATTTAAATTAGGGATGAAATACTAGTAAGACACAACTACAAATAACTGCAAAACTGTCAGGGTAAGTTATGAAGGAAATAATTAACTAACTGTGGAATGGCTATATATTGTAGAAGCATATATGAAAACACTAAGACACTGATTAAAAAAAGGAGATACTGTATAGCAAATTATGAAGCACAAACATCTAGTAAGCTTTCAGGATGAGATGAGAATCAGAACATTTTTGGACTGTCAAGGAATGTACAGTATCTTATAGTTTTACTTACAAGGAATGTATTTTGGGTCATAAATAATGACTCAAATGATTATCAATGAGATTAGGGGTTTTTAAGTTCTACTTAAGAACTCGAAGAAATAATAACGATGACAATGCTGCAAGCATAGAGAAAAAGGTGTCACAGTGATAATAAGCTACAGAAATTCAGTGATCTGTTCACTGGACTTAAATGCAAAAAGCATAAGAGCTGTTTTTAACATTCAGTAAAGAATCAAGTAAGTATTTTTTAAGGCATTCTGCCTTAAAGGTCCCTCTGCTCGAGCTTCTCCTACAGTCTTGCAGCTGTAGAAATGAGTACAGGGACCCACACAAGGATGGCTGAAAAGGGCTCAGTGAACAGCCCTGCAACTAAGGAGAAAACATGAAACCAAGACTCAGACACTGAATTTTTTTCCCAATTGTTTAGCCTTTAGACTGGATGTCTTAAGAAAACAATGTATGATATTTGACTGGATAAAAGTACTTCAGAATATAACATAAACTGATTGAAGTGCTAGAGCATGACCTTCTGTGTTGGTGTAAAGGCTTTCTCATACCATAGTCTTAGTTTTGTCTTTCATTTAATAACAAACCCATGAAGTTCTGGTTCAGGTTCATGAAGTACTACTCTCAGTGGACAGCAAAGAAGTGTTATAACACTTACCTGAGAAACAGAAAAATCAAACCATCTGCTGAGATATACTGTACCTGTTGATAAGACTGGTTTTCCCAACATACAGGTCTCCTACCACAACCACTTTGGATATTTTCAGCCTGTTATAAATATTTGAAAATGTTACATGGTTTTAGTTGCAATTTCAAGTCTCTCTCTAAAAATTCTGATTTAGATCCTTAAAATGCAAGTGATGAGTACAGGTACCTGTGACTTAAGTTTCCCAAAGTGCCACTGTGCTGCACAAGCAGAACCTTAAATTGCAAGAAAGGAGGTCACCAAAAAAAACAAACCCTTCTGGAGCAGAAATAGTCTGTTTATTACTCTCTCTATTTTTTCCTTAATTTTAGTCCAGTGGGATATAACTTCTATTGCATTAAAATTGCTTTGACTACAGGTGTATACATTTGACAGTTTACACATTAAACCATAGAGTATCTACATCCTTTGCATTAAAATTAATCACAAGTTTCTCATTGACTTTAACAGTACAAATAAAGCCTTAAGAGCAGAAACAAAAAATTGCTGATAATAAAATAACCCACTGCAGAATGTGTCTCTGGGAAAAATAACCCACAAGGTTAGAGCCAATACATTTTCTGACTACCTGGAATAATATTAATCTGAAGCTGGCTTCATGTAAATAATCCTCTTTGCTCTAGGTCCTCCCCCAGGATACAGCAGATGGGCTTTGGGTGACTCAGCCTGCATTCTTCAAATTGCAACTGAGTGTACCTTTTAGGAGATACAGGGGGATAAGTGAATGTAAGTGTTCTTGCTGACCTAAACTTGGATTGGCAAAAATGGCTTAAGAGGTTTAATGTTCTTTTCTAGCAAGGAATGGCTTTTCAAACAAAGGCATTAATCTACTGAATACTATTTCTGGTTACATCAGACTTCCATGTGATGCTGATTCCAAGTTACCTCTTCTAAATAGTCCAAATCTTGATTGGTAAGCCATGTGACTAATATTTCCAAAAAAAAAAAAGAAGGTGTTTTTGGTGCCAATCAACAATAACTGAGTGGTCACAGGCCCCTATGCTGCTGAAATGTCTCTGCCTGATTAACTGTTACTGAGAAAATACTGAGTAAAATCGATGACCTTCAGGGAAAAGCAAAAAAGTAAGTGATGGTCTAGAGGTGTGTGTTCCATTAATTTGTATTGGGGAAAAAACCTCTCCAGATTAGACAATTTAAGACACTGATGGAATATTCAGAGAGTCTTAACTACAGCCATTAGCTACTGAATTTCTCAGACTAGCTTTCCAAATGACAAAGAAATATTTTATTACTCGGGATAATGGAAAAGGAAGATAATGGTTATTCCTGTCAAGCTTTACAAGTACTGTACAAAACACTGGCTGCCCTTTTACCCCCATTACACCAAAAAATTATTTAAATCACCGAATAATAATCACTTCCAGAGAGCAGTGACAGAAAAGTGTTTAATTTTATTCACAAAGCCAAAATGTAAAGCTTTTTAGCTGTACTCTGTTACTAGAATAAGTTAACTGGACAGTAGGTTTACTCTGGAAATTAAAAACCAAAACAAAACCACAAACAAACAAAAAACCAAAACCCAAACCTCAGAACATAGAGATGTTGACATCAGAAGGGGAAAATGCCTCAATTCAATAAAGGACGTAGCAAATTACCATGAAACTAAGATAGTGCTCCTAAAAAAGTAGTAAAGTCACTGATGTCTCTCAGGGTGACACATTTTAGCTTTTTTTTTTTAGCAAGGCTCCCAAGTGAAATGAATAAAACGTTGCATTTAAAGATGTATATCATGACAAGTCTTGTGGTAATCACCAACTCCAGATTTGAAAGAACGGTGAGCTAACTGTCAGTATTCATAGAAACTCCACTTTATGGAAGATTCTTCACACTGAAGCACAGAAGCATTTATCACTAAAACATACAGCTATTTATTTTGACTGAATAGTGATGATTTCTAACATCAGTTTAGCTTTCCTGCCTTGTTTCAGAAGATTAAATCAGTAATGGTAACAGTTCTGGGAAAGAGAGAAGGTGGGGGAAGAAAATAACTTCAAGATTATTATTAGGGCATAAAGCAGCTTATTTGGATTTTCCAGTGCTATATATTTACCAGAATTTTGCTTCAGTTTTAAGGAACCATTTAAGAGAACTTCTCAGCATGTAAACTTCAAAAAAGACTAAAACTAGATTCTTAGGTGTTTCAAGAAACTTAGAACTGCTGTGTTTCTATCCCTCCAAAGCCTTTATTATCTGCTCCTTTGGAACACCAACAGAGAACACAACAAGGCTGGATCTGCTGGATCTTTTGAACGAAGTAAATACTTTGAAGTGTTTAATTCAAAGGTGCTGAAAAACTATTTGTTGCTAAACTGCTCCACCGTTTTTTCAGTGCTATGTATGCCAGCAGGAAAAGTATCTTTGACACTCCTGGGAAGAAGAGGCACTTTGTTCATTTACTGTCAAACAGGTCAGAGAAGTGCCATGTGCATGGGCTTGGCTGCCTTGAAACACACTGGAGTGAGGAACATGAGGAACGAGGAAGGAAAAGCCAGTGAAGAAAGCAGGCTATCAAGAACTGAAAATACTTTCTTTGTTGCATACCTGGTTTGTTCCAAACTCACCCTGCTGTTGCAGTGCTGTGCTGACAGGCAGTGCTGACCTGTGTGTGGAAGTGCTCCTTAAGCTGCAGACAGGCCTCAGGTGTGTACCACTGAAACACAGAACAGCTGCTGGGACAAACTGCCTGAGGGCTGCTTGGCAAGAGCAAATCAGCAAGGAAAAACAGGGAAGAAGATTATTCAAAGAGTTTGTCGAGCACAGAGTTATTCTGGCATAAGAAAAGAGACAGCTTGGGTTAGAAGGCAGTCAGGCTTCCCCACAGCTGTGTTGTGAAACTCCTTGGGACCATCATTTGACCACCTTTCTGAGCATCAGCATCCAAGCACCCACAGCCAAACACATTTGCTCATCATTCTGTACCACAGTAAGTGCCTTGAATTATCCCAGTGATCTAAGGCACACAAGACAGACACAGATGGGAGCACACCACCAGCAAGTCATTATTCCTATGAAGTCTTTTCAATCTCTTCTAAGTGTGAAGCGCTGTTTTTATTATTAACCTTTAACGAGGAATTAGTTAAAAAGGAAGAAAATGTATTTGATTTCGTATTTGCTAAAAATACCTGTTATATTTTTAATAAAATTAAAAGCAAAATATGTGGCTGAGATCAAGCATGGAAAAAAATGCTAACTCCCTTAAAACGATCTTTTGAACAACTGAAAAAATGGAATGGTAATTCCTTGTCCTTCCATGTCCTTTACTCTTCTATTATACTTCTATACTTCTATTATACTTCAAATAAAGAAGTCTTTGGGGACATCAAAGGGCTTTTGTCTGTGTTTCTACAGTGCCTGCTACATTTGATTTACTGTATGACTAAGGTTTCTATACAAACAGAAAATTAAAATTGCCTCAAATTCTTCAGCCAAAGCCTCCTAATTAGACTTTTTTTGCATATTTAAGATAAGCTATGGTTCCTATTTCCCCTTGGTGTTGGAGCTTTTTAAGCATGTAATTATTAATGTTTTGCTGAAATAACAAGATAAATATTATAAGATAACACTTTTGTGGCAAGAGTCACTTTTTGTAAAGGTTAAAAAGAAGTGAGGATTATTATTAAAGAGGTCAGCATTGAATGGGAATTTGAGGTCACATTAAACTTTGAGAGAAATTCTTAAATAATTTGTAATTTTAAGAGAAGACAACAAGTGTACATTAAGTTAAATTAAAATAGTATTAGCACAAGGGAAAGATAGATCAGTGTGGCAGGGGCTATACAGAATGCTTACCTTGGGAAACTGGGAGATTATTCTGTCCCTACTCACTGGGGGAACAAAATGCATTAGGCTGGACTTCATCCTCCAAATCCAGTTAAATACTAGCAGAGAGAAAATATGCAAAGAAAACCATAGTATTCAGAAATTACCTCAATACAGGGACAATATGATCAAACAAAAACTTAACTAAGTTCTTACAGACTTATCTTTTTTTTTTTGTCTTTTTGGTAAAACTGGCAGTTCTTTCACTTAATTTGCATTGAAGGAAACCTGTTTCTTATGTAAAAGGGACCACTTCAGTGTGCACAGCTCTAGTAGCAAACAGTGACCTTCTGAAACTACAAGGAACCAACTCTAATTCCATGGGAGGGCAGAGAATTGCTCACTTAATTCAACACAAGTGCTTGCACTTTAGCCCTCAAAGGATTTTGCAGTGCTTAATTTGAAAATCTTGCTCATCATTGTTTCAAATGCCTCTGCACTGAGCACATTAATAAATGTTAGAGGCTACCAGATTTCATTTGGTCAGAGGGAGAAAGGAAGAAAGATGAAGCTGCCACATTTCTTGGCACAACATCAAACTTTCATCCAAGATCAGCCCAGAAAGAATGAAATCAGTAGATAGTCTGACATGGAAAAAGAATAATGCTCACATGAAAATCACAAACGCATTTAAATGTCTCACCTGAGACATATCAATTTGGTTATGCAATGGAACCTCGTGGGTTGCTGGGGGAGGGGACCCTTAATAGGGTACCAATTTCTTAGTGGCGTTCAAAGAACGTTTCTAATAAGAGCATTTCCATCATGTAGCAAAGTGTAAGGAAGGACTCACCGTGCAGCAGCTGATGCAGCAGGATTCCAGCCACACAAACAGCTCAGCCTGCTGCTACGTGGCCATAGCAACAGGCTTGCAACAATTCCCTTCCTCCCGTTCTTCCACAGACCGGGAAGGTGGAGTTGGAGTGATTTAACTATACGCAGGACCCTGGGTTTAGAAGAAAAAACCTGAGTTTAGTGGTCGTACAGATTCCTCTGATCAGAAACTGCTCCATAATAAACTCACCGGCCCCTAATCCTATATAACGAAACAGTTCCATTGTCTTTAAACATAGTTGTATATATGGATACAAAGAGCAGGATTAACACAACTGCCAAGGAGCTAAGGGAGTGGGAAACTCTTACCGTGCTAATATTAAGCATAGTAGCAATTAGAAAGAAACTCCTAAGGGATTTTTCCAGCATTTCAACTTGATTTCATCTCAGCTTTAGAGTCAGGATGCGCATGCCACTAATGAGACATTCTGAATTATATAAATGTCTTTCTAGTCATTAGTAATCTTGCTTTCTAATGTGCAAAACACCAAAAACAAGGACTAAGAAATCACACAGCTCTTTTGTATTACCTAAGTATTGTTAATCGACTCATTAATTTAGACAGCATTTAGTGTGCCAGACTGCAATTTAGGATGCTAAAAGATTTTGCTATGTATTTCATTAGGATTTAAATTTCCAAATTTCAGAAAAGAAAGCTCTCCCATTCTAACAGTCATATGTTGATAATGCTGGAACAGGCTTGGAACAAGGAGACAAGCCTCTCCCACTCCTGCAGCAGACTAAAAACGTTAAAGGGCAAATGAATGCAGGCAAGTAATTTTAAACAGTAAGCAAGTACATAACAAAAAACCTACAGTTGTGTTTTACAACCCTACAATAAGAACAATGCTCAACAAAATTGCTAGTCCACTACTTAGAAATAATTTTTTATTCTCTTTTGTGAGGAGTTGCTTTTAAACCACTTCAGACACCCATGTGATCTCGACCACACCAGAACAGCCACTTCCCCCCAAAGAATCCAGATTTGCAGCTGATGGGTTATTCACCAAAGAAAGCAACATTACAGTATTTATCTATTACCATATGGACAGTTCTACTTATGCTACCTGTGACCATATAAAATTTGAGAGATCTAGAGCCTTTTTATGGTGTGCTCCCACCCTTCTGACAAGCTTGAATGACTGTATGGCAATATTAATGTCTTAATTAATGTCGGAACTATAGTTCTAAAAAGAAAAACTCCACTAGTTGGGTAAGAGTTTCAAACACTAACTTGCTTCTGTCATGTGTACATAAGCTGACTCACTGCTCATCTCCTAGAGCTCTTTCACAAACTAAGCTACAAAAATACCCCCAGTTCAACAATCTCGGTGAATGCAAAGTACAGGAGGAACCAAAGCAAACAAACAGAAATATATCGAAATTGAGGGGCCATCTTCACTTACATTTATTGTATTTAATCTAAATCTCACACATGCATAAACATATCCCAGTTTACCAAATCAACAAATTAGACACACCATTAAAGGAAAAAAAAATTAAGAAATACAAAGCTGCTAAAAATACTGAGAATGATCGGTGCTGAGATCCAGATTTTCTCTTCTTACAGAGCTGAAAGGGGATTCAGTCACCAGGGAGGGCTGGGAACAGAGTGTCTCCACGGCATCACAACTCTCCTTATCTCAACGCTGCAAGAACTGGAGCACCAGCAGATTCTGTGGATAGACAAAGGATTTGAGGCAGGCATGCAGAAGGCATACATAAAATAAGTTAATGCCATGGCCACTAACAACATCAGTATTCCAAGCTATGGTGAAGGACAAGACAGCAAAATTCATGCTCAAAGCCGAGTCAACACTGAAGGATAAATGAAGTCTCCAGTTTTCTCCTGCCCCTTCCACCCTGAAAAAAGTTCACATTCTTCCTATGGAAATATGGTGAAACTTTACAAATATATAGTTAGGAAAGTAAACTCTTCTTTAAATAATCTGCTCTAAAATGTTGCAGAAAAAAATGAATCCTTTCCAGGAAATACTTTTTAAAGTAGTAATTTTTCTTTTATGGATTTTGAAGATCAACAAAGCAGAATCTATTCCTGTGATGTACTTTAATCCGGCTGATCAGAATTACTTTGGATCAGTAAAATCCAGTTTAAAACCTTTGATTATAATAATTGTTACTCAGACATAATGAAAAAATCTTGACAATTTCACTATCTGCACTGAGACCAAATATTTCACAGCACAAGCTATCCAGAGTTTTTCCCTGATACCAGATCACATCTCACAACTCAGAACACCCATAAGTTCTGCCAGCAACATTGCAATGGCATGTTCTTCCCATGCCCCTTCCTCTGAACATCTGTGAAACTACGTAATGATAACAGAAACCTTTACTACACATTCTAGCTGTTCATAGCGACATTTTGGAGAAGATTAGGAAAAAAAACCTGGTCCAAAACTCCCTGAGCTCTCTTCGACCCTTGCACCTCAAGGCGCTGGCCTGCTGTCTTCCTGCCCCGTAACTCGACCACCATTTTGTTCACTCTGAATTTTTCTCAATTTTTATTTTTCTCAACTGTAACTACTTTGAAAACAGGGGGGCGAGAAGAGAGACCGCACACTTCAGCAGAGAGGCGAGGTAGAACCGCCCCACACCGGGACCCCACGGCGCCGTCCCCTCGTGCCCTCACAGACCCCCCGCCCTGAGGGGCCGCCCCTCAGCGCCCGCGGCGCTCCACGGCCGCGCCCCGCGCCCCACTACGCCACTGGCGTAACTCCCTCACGGCAGCCGCGGCCACACGCGACACTTACGCTGTTGGCGCAGGGCCGGACCCGGTGCTCGGCTGAGCAGCCGCTATTCACGAAGCGGCGCGTACGCAAAGAGCGGGCGCTGTGGCAACCAGGGCACGCGCGCGGTGCGCGGCCGGCCGGGGCTGAGGGGCGGGAGCCGGGACACGGCGCCTTCGGTTATCCAGTGCATTTCTTTGGTTTTGAAGAGAGAAACGGAGTTGCCTAGCGGTTGTTTTAACTTTTCAGCTCTTTGGTTTGTGGTTTTTGTTTGTTTGGTTTTTTGGTGTTTTTTTTGTTTTGTTTTGTTTTGTTTTGTGGAGCAGTTTTCAATACTGGATGTCGTATGGTTCTGTCAGCAGAGCCGCTTTCCGTGCTGAGGGGAGGGCAGCCACCGCCCATTCTATCAAACGTTACCGAATTCTGAGGGCAGATTTAAACTAGATCCCTTTTGAAACCATGTCACTTTGCTTGCTTTTGCTTTAATATTATTATTTTGACCTCCTTTTTGGTTCAGGGCATTGGGCCGCTTCGTTTTAATCCTCTGAAAAACGTTACCTCCATCATCTTGCAATTCTAAGCTTCTTTCTTTCTCTTTTTTTTCTCTACAGTGTTCAGTCTAGAATTGAACCAGAAGACAATTCAGCAGAAGACAATTCAGCTGTGCACCAGTCCAGCCTCTTTCACAGCTTCCCGACAGTGTTCATGTGCTAAAATAGCTCCTCTGGGACACAGAGCACTGTTCAAAGTCAGTAGGTGTCATTTTGGCACATTATCTGTCCACTCACCAAGTACGGTCATTTTGGAGTATTTTTAGAGATAGGGAGAATCCTTCCCAGGAAACTTCGGGATGGCACAGCCTCGTATCTCAGCCTACCTGCCCCCTGATATAGATCCCACCAAAGCTGCTCTGGCATTTGGGAGGAGGGCCCTTCCTAAGCTGAACGAGGAGTTACAGTCTGCCGAGCTGCTGACGCAGCAGCGGGCACTGATGGCGCTCTGCGATCTGGTCCATGATCCAGAAAAGGTCTACCAGGCAATAGAAATAGGTAAGTGATGTGTTGTCACAAGCTCTGACACAGCAGGGCAGGGTGAGGGGGAAACCCTACTTTCCTTTCTTTCCTTACTTTTTCCTTACAATATCTTTGATGACACAAAAAGCCCAGGAAAATTTTTCTGTTTGTTTTACCTTAGAAAGGTAAAGAATATTATAGTGCCATATACATGGCAGTATTTTAAGAGTTACCCGCACTTTAGGATTTATCAATGCCTCACTCTTAAGTTTTCTCAACCCCTAAGTACAAAACTAGTTCATATTATTTTTTTTCTGTAGAACCACAGAATCATTAAGGTTGGAAAAGACCTCTAAGATCATCAAGTTGAACCATTAACTGTGTACTGCCATATTCACCTCTAAACCATGTCCCCAGTCTTTATTCTGAATTTAGCTAATTCTTAACATAGACTAATTAAAAAAAAAAAAAAAGAAAGCTTAAATAGTCCAAAGTTAGAAACCCCACCATCACCACTCCCATTGTCAATAAGTTAAATTTCATTTGCCTGGAGTCTTTTCTAATTCTGTTATCCATTAACCTTTCAGACATAAACAATTTATAAATTTCTATGATCATAAAACTGCTAAATATATTTTATTTAGAAAGGGGGAAATGAAAGGCTTTTAGTTATCCTAAACCAGGGGAAGAAGGCAAAATCCCTGGTTTTGTTTTTCTTCATTAGACATTTTCTACCACATATGACAGAGGACAGTTTCACCTTCCTGGATCTGTCATGCTTGAGATGCTCAAAATACTCATATCTCAGATCCCCTAATAATAACAGGAAAAAATTCTGATGAACATTTTAATTAATAACTAATAAAATAATTTTCAGAAAAGATCTACAAGTTTACAGAATCTCTGAAGTCATCTTCTGTCATTAACTCCTGCAGCAGTGAATAAAATGGCACATCCAGATATAATTTTATCAGAGAGATAAAACAAAGAGCTTTTTATGCAGAACTCCTTCTTAGAGGTTCTTAGGGGTTGTAGAATAAGCCTATAACAAAACAAACAAAAAACCCAAACAAAAAAACCCAAACAAAAAAACCAAACAAAAACCCCAAACAAAAAAACCCAAACAAAAAACACCAATCCCGGAACTTCATGAGAAATTAAGACAGAAGGCAATAGAACCAAATTTATCAGACTCATCACAATTACATCTGGCCATCACTATTTTCAAAACCCTTTATCCCAGCACTTAGAAGAATCCTAGGTTTGGATTTTGGAGAAAAGAAAAACCACGAGCTTACTTTTTGCAATTTTTAGCAGTCTGTTGTGTATCTACACACCTCATTATGTTACACTGAAGAAGTCCTCCAGTTTGCCACTGCTTTTTTCTCCATTTACTTCCTTTGTATTTTTTCCCCTCATAAAAGATAATAATCATATTTAAAATTTTTTAAGCTCTTGTTTGATTAACAGTAGCTGCTAAAGTAATGCAAGATTATTGTTTGTTTGGGGCTGTGTTTTTTTTTTTGGTCAGTGCTACCTGTGCATACCCAGAATTATTAATGGTTCACCACATTTATTTCTGTGTGTAAAGCAACACTGTGGTTTTTTGTAGCCTGTGCTACACCTAAAGAAGTTTAAAAATCATCAATCCTGCAAACACATGCTTTTCCAAAGACATCAATAGCTCCACTGACTTATTTTTAGAGTTATGTCACTTTATATTTGCAGGATTAGGATTTAACTTGATAGATAAGTCAGCAGCTTGTTTGCAGCGTGACATTTTTGGCAGTAGGCCTTGAAATTTGAAAGTTTCTTCCCTACTTGAGATATGACAACGAGCATTTCACTGTCAGCACAACTTAAAAGTTCTGATTGTTTGCACTTCAAATTGTGAGAGAAAAATGAGTATTGCTATTTCAAATTAACGCTGAAGGTAAGAAGTGCTAAAATGAACTGTGGTGTCTCACAGGATTCTTGGATAACCTGAAGACTTTGCTGGGACATCCTGACAACACCATCCGGCAGAAAGCAACAGAAGTTCTCTATCTGCTGAGCATGCACAGTGTGGGCAGGTGGGTGTGACTCCAAGTTTACTGAATGGTATGGGAAGTGATGGAGATGTTTCAGTGAGACACAAGAACAGAATCTCTAAGTTGTTTTAAGAGAAATGCAACATAAATAAGAGTAGTTAAGTATCTCACACATATATACAAGTTTTATCATGCTCTGTTAAATGTGTCCTCCTTTGTTTTCAGGCAAGGGCTGATACAAAATGGAGTGATTTCTGCCCTCACTGGGCTCTTGGATGATCCAGTAGATATCTGTCGGAAGAACATCCATCTGATTTTTGATATGATGGCAAAAATACCTGAAGGTAGGGGGTTTAAGTAGCTAAATATTCAAATAGACAAGGCAGAGAAGAAATCAGGTAAGTGCACCAATGTACTACACTGCAGTTTTATTTTATTCTATTTTTCTTGAAAATCATATTTAAACCCAGTATCTTTTCTATTTTTGCTCAGCTTAGTTTTCTTTAGTTCGTTCATTTTCTTAAGTCTTATGCAAGTTAAGGCTCCCTGCTCAAGGTACAGGTTTTGTGCACTACATGCTTGAATTTGTATTTCAGAATGTTGCATCAAAATTCACTTTGTCCTCTTGTGTTCAAAATGTGGATCAGCTGTTCATCCTGGTGCACTAATTTCTTAAGTTTTCTAATATGAACATTAGTCTTAAACTTTTCCAATTGATCAAAGTTATAATTTTAAAATTAAAGTTTCAGTAGATAGAAATTATCAATTAAAAAACCATACTCTTTAAAATAACGGGAAAGTATGTTGTCTGAGGAATTCTGTTACATTGCTGGTGCTTAAAAAGAATTAAATGAATTCTTAAAGCCTTGCTGAGTGTACATGAATCCTAAAAATCTAAAGATGTATTTTTACACCTTTCTAAAGTCCTAAATAATTGAATCCAAATGAAGGATATTAATATGTTGGGCTAAACAACCTTGAGAACATCATCACAGAAAAACAGATTTTCTTGGAAAAGTTTGTGAAAGCATCTCTGAGTAACTATCCTTGGAAAAAAAAGGTGGTTTTCTATTTAGTTAGATAAAAATATAATATATATAAAACAAATATACATGTGTGTATTTAAGGGTTGGAAGGTAACTCCTTGAGCAGAATTGTGTCACTGCAGAACGGATTCACACACAGATGGCTACTTACAAGAAAAACAGAAAGGTGCTAAAAACTTTTTTGCTATGGGAAAATTTGGGGAATTATCAGGGATAGCCACACATTTTCCAATAGGTATAGTAAGAGTCCTAAGGCCTGACATAATTCATCTGACAAATTACAGATACAGAAACAGCCTCTGCTTGCTAATTCAGCCTTCTTGAGCCAACAAACTGTCTGTCTTCCTCTTTGCATTTACTGCTACACCTCATGCAGATAATGAGATAGGAGGTACCTGGGGTCAGCTGGGGGAAGCCAGCAGCTAATGCACCATCCCACAGCTCCACTGCTGATGTGCTCTAGAGCTGAGGAGATCTGCAGGCCAGTAAAGCAACATGTTCTGTGCTAGACAAAGAGACAAAAGCTGCACATGCACTTGGCACCAGGTGTGGCTGTTTGTGTTAACTGGGAGGTGGTCAGTGACTCCACTCAGCTCTTTGCCAGGACACCTGGTCTTGCTCCAAACAAGAGTAATTTGGGAACATGAGGTTATTTTAAGCAAATCCACTTACAGGCTGTTTTGGATTCCTAAATTTAAGGATGCATACCAGTATCTTCCAGGAACAGCGGGATAGTTAAAAACCATAAGGTGGGAAAATCCACAAAGACTGGGAGAACCCTGAAGAGTA